ACAAGTGTAAAAGTTGCCTCTACACCAAAATGATCAGAATAACTACAGTTTAATTCCGGAATTTTTTCAGTAAAAACAACACGCGATCCACTACACCAAAATCTCGATGTTTTGCGATAAAAAATATAATCAAGACGCGACCCCGCGTTCCGATCACGTACAGCTTGTTTCATGGTACGTTTGGACCAGGTATTTATCGGTGAATTACAAGTGATGCCTTTCTGTGTGATTTCGGCATTTGCATCAAATCCGGTAGGCCCAACCTGCTGATTAATCGATGCTGTAGAAATACTACCGGGTGTTGAAGGATGTTGTGATTGCCATGCGTCGGTCATTTGTCCATGCTGTATTATAAGTTTGTGCACAAGAGTATCTGGTTCACTGTTGAAATCACCTGCCTGAATATTAAATGATGTTAATTCACTCGGACTCGACAATCTGATCCCCCCCAAATATTATTACTACGATTATATTCACTTACTGCAATAACGTTGCGACCTCTCGAAGCTGATATCTTCATTAAGTTTGATGCCTCCCAGGCCTGAGAAACACGGTGAGCCAAATATATATCGTTAATTTTTGCCCCGTAACCTGCGTGAGTCTATAAATTATTATATTAGCAATTGTCGAGTGATTACACAAGTTAAAGTGACAACAATAAGTTATTATTACATGTGTGTTAAATATCTCAATTAACCCCGCCACGGGATGGTCAACTACAGCACTAGCTATCCCCTTCCCTACATACCAATCACCATGCATGAATTTAATTGGTCGACCATTCAGACGGTATTTGTGAAAATTGAATTCGACGATAGGATACCGTGAGAGTATAGCAAGGCCTCCGCCCAATATACCGCTAATCGTTGACAAAGAAGTATTTACAACATTTGTAGATAAAATTTTTGAATTTGACTACTGATCATACCTATAAAAGAATCTGGAGTACGGAAATCGTTTTTTTGCTCTGTTTCTAATTAACTCATAATTAGAATATACCCAAACTTCTTGTAAACAAACTATTTCATAGTCGGAACGAGACAAATTGTCCCCAATAGCCTCCATTCGCGGTTCACGCTTCTTGGAGACAATCTTTAGGCCCCTATTTAATACATAAAAAAATCTTGAATTTAGTTTTGAACGAAACAATTTAAGAATTTATCTACGCACCAGCAGTTCAGTGATAAAACTGTAAGCGTTGTAGTACTTGAGCCACTCATATTTAACAATCCCGTAAGCGTCTATTGTCTAAAAATATTTTTTTACATGCTAAAATTATTCGACAACTCTATTGTGTTATCATAAGCAAAACATGGGTTTTCTACGAATTTGATATAATAAGGGAAAAAAAGAAGAACGCAAGGAATTTGGAATCAATGATTTAAAACTTGAACAATCAATATGCTGTATTACATGCATTGACGCTCTCTGTGCTACTCCAATAATAAACCCTACGCGATAAATATGACAAATGGGAGGGTTAGACCGAATTGGGTATTATTGAAACAGTTCATATGAAATTATAATGCATAAATTTTTCAGGCACAATCGCTCCAAAAAAAGCAATCCATATTTCGGAATTACATGGACATAAAAAATCAATTTGCTTGTTATCAGGTCATAATTATAAAAACAAACATTATATTAAATAATAATAAATACTGTATATTTAAAATTTTTCTTTATACTTAAAAAAATACAACTTTATAGTGGTTTTCTTTGTAATAAAAGAAGATTGAGTCAAGGTATACATATAATACTGTATATATTTTTGTAAAGATTACAGTTTTCTTGAAATATTAAGCACTTTACAAATTCAAAGAATAAAAGTTTTATAAGAAAAACAAAAAAAATCAAATTCAAGATCAAGTTTTTTATTATATAATAATAATAATATAGTCAGGTTAAATTATAATTTATTAATCAATGAAAAACAAAAAAATATTATTATTTGAGTAGCATAATATATACTATAGCCAAGCTTTTACAAATCAATTCAATAAACTTGTTATAAGAAACAATAGTTTCTAAATTTTATTTTGAAAACAATATAATGAACTTTAAGTAAAGATTCTTTTAGTTTATATATTATTATTAATATGCCACTATTATTATATATCTTGTTAAGCTATTAAAATAAAATCACAAAAAGAGATAATTGAAATAAAAAAAAAGATAGATATCAAAAATATACAAATGTATTTATAAGAAAATAAAAAAAAAAAGTAAAATAAAAATTTTCAGCTTTCTTCAAAAATTATTTTTCAAAACTTTTTCTTAATAAAAAATATCCTTTTAAAATATATTTTTTTTTTAATTATCAGAAGAATTATTTATTTTTAATTTTGATTTTATTCATGTGCACTGTTTAAAAAGACTTATCATCTATTAGAATTTTTATTTTAAAAATACATTTAATTCTAGTCTTTTTAAACAATAATTTTATATCTATTTATAATAAAAAAATAATTTATAATAGACTTTAGACTTTTATATAGTCCAATAGAAATTTAATTATATTGTTTTTTTTTTTTTTTTAAATCCTTTGTCAGGCTAGTTATATGTACTTTATTAAACAATTGTAAGCTGTACATATAGTATGAATCGCTAAAGCTAAAACTTT